AGTATTTCAGACGTTGCAACTCCCAAACAACATACACGAGGAAAAAGGACTCAGATTCTACTATGGCAGTACTGGAAGAAAAGTTTAATGTTCATAAGAAAATAAAAAATAGGATATCATGCTACCTTTAGAAACATCAGAAGAGAGGACTTCAGCAGCCAGAGAAAGATATGTATCACATATCTTTGACTTATTATTCTCTTCCACAAGCTCTTCTTGCACATTATGGTCGCTATTCAATTGGATTCTAGCAGCCTCCAATAAATGAAGAGAATAAAATTAGCAGGCTACAGTTTGAATTAAGACACATGTGACACAAACAAGAAACAACATGGAGAGATTCATTTTGGCAAGAGGTAAGGTTTACAGATCTATGTAAGATGGTCGTTAGAAATTAAAGAATGGAACATAGCCGAGAATTTTATCCAGAGAATTATTAATACAGCTGAAGAATCATAAACTATCTCTGCAAGCATTTAACAGAAACCCTTATTTATATTCTGTTTTTTTCTTTTCTTATTGTACTCCTAGTGAATGTAATGCTAGTCAGTGTAGTCTTTGACCTTGATCTAGTACACTACTCATGCAAATTTGGATAAAGTTGGCAATCATGATTATTACTGTACCCTAAGACATCATCAGCTGCTTGGTAAAACATGAGAAACAAGAAAAATACAAGTAATCAATACACAATGTAAAGAGCCTGGGAAAATAACCATCTGAAACCAGAAGCTGAAAACCTGATAACTATCAATTAGTTCAGTATGGAATGTCTACCTGTATTGCTCCCCAGAGGCCAAGATTCACCAGACAATATATGAGATTATCATGTGTTCTTTTGAGAAGCCTTTTCATATTTAAGAGGCTTTGCGTTTGATGGGTATCAATCTGCCGCTTGAGAGATAACAAGCACTGTTCATGTCAGGAAGTAATATCAGCTCATAAATCCAAGCATAGTGAGCCAAAAGAGATTTAGGCACAATAGACAACCCGCTGTTTGATGTCCTCCAGCATGTCTTCATATATTTTTGTCGATTGGGATGTATCACTCATAGCTGACCGATAATAATATACTTTGACTATAGGAGATGAAACAAAACCATCCAGCTGGGCATTGCTTTCCACTGAATAAACCTTTTAAAACACGGGAAACAAAGAGAGAAATATTAGAACATTTTTGGAAAAAACTGAATGTAAGAACATTTGTCTGAATTTAGCCATGAGAAAGATATTTCTGCTTTAGACTTGCATCAAATGATTAGTTAGACACCATAAGCTTGGGCCAACAATACCAAGTAAGAGATCCAAGCATAAGCAGAGTATTATTTCTACTTTGGTATCACCCAATAAACACAGCATGACATAACTCAACATAAATAAGCAGGCATCAATCATGCCTAGGAAAGATATCTTGCATACTGAATTACGAAACATCAAATTAAAATTTCACTTCTGAGGTAGAGAGTTGTGCTTCAAGTTCTTCTGCCAACAGTCAACGTGTCAATGAAAATTGGGAATATAAAAACCAGCATACCTTGGCATTGAGCAGGCTCTCAAGGCTATTTATGCTTTTCGATAAATTCTCTGATTGAAAAGACCCTGAAAAGTAGGTAGAGCTGTCAAAAAGCTGGACCATGTATAGAACGAAGATGATCAAAGGTTGCAGCTACTATCAAGATCAGTAAAAACCTCACAACTGAAAGTGAAAAACCGAAAGGAAACCAATACAGGAGCTAATTCTCTCAACTATATAATTTCTACGGAACATATGTTTCTTCTTGTCACATAAATGCTCCATCTACTTTTCCAGATAGTATGTTGCCCAATTCTGTTCCATTCGAATAATACAACCAGATATTTTTTTTAAGTAACCCCAAACTACTCCTATCACAGTCACCATTGTAAAGAGGTTCTGAGTCTAAACCAAAAGAAAAAGAGAAACTAAAATGGTAGAAGACATATAAAAAATCTGCTAACGAGTTTCTCTTATTCTTATGACCCTTTCATAATACATGCTTTGGATAGCAACGGGCTTGTAATCCGCAAAATCGACATTAGAAAAATGAGACTACCTTTGCCAACAACTGGAGATGCAGTCATTCCAAATATACGAGGTTGTTGTAAGCCTTCCGTTTCATAGAAAACCTGCATTTGCAAAAAAAAAGTGAAGCAGCTCAAAGTTGATTGTATGCTAAAAATGTTTCAGACACCATATACCAAGGATGTGGAGAAAGATACCTTCATGATTTGCGCATAAGGATGGTTGCTTTGTCCTTGAGCATGGTGACACTCATCGAATATTAGAAGGGAAATCCACTCCATCCTGATGAAACAGTGCTGTAAGTTATGCAGAAGTATTTGCGGAGTCATAACGAGAACCTGCAGGAAACATTCATCCCCAAATAACAAAAAAATTGAATCATGATCTCACAGGTCAAAGCGATGGTTCCCCTTAATTGCAAATTGGAATTATCAATCAACTTAATGAGACTTCTAGGGTTTAAAAAGATAAAAAATATAATCAGAAAACAAGGAAATCACCTCATTCTCTGAAACCTCTCTCCCCCAGTCATAGTGGCTCTTCACAGTCCGGTCGCCGCCACAATGTATTGCGACTTTGAAGTTGATAGACTCTGCTATGACCTTGGCTTGCTGTGAAGAACAAAGAAAAACTCAAGACAGAGAATGTGAACTTGAAGAAAGAAACCAACCAATCCGCAACAACCAGCTCAATAAAATCTCGATGTAATCAAGAGTAGAAACCTCTCACCTGTTGGACCAAAGCTATGGTAGGAGCAAGAAATATACACACACTTTTCTTGGGGCTAAGAATCAAGTGACCGAGCTCATATATAACCATCACTGCAATGTGAGTCTTCCCACAACCAGTTCCCAGATATACGATTATATTCTCCTCCATTGCTTTCTTGCACAGCTCCAGCTGATACCTTGATACAGAAAAGAAAATCATTCAGTCCTCAAAAACAATATCAGCAGAATCAACAAAAAAACTCGTCGAGAAATGAACAATGTATCCGATCTTTCCATGAATCTCCGTTATCTTCTATAACCCAGAAAATCCGATCAACTTTTCTTCGGATAACATGTAAACTTAACAATCCGATAAATCTCCGTCAGCTACAAAAGCGGAACAAATACTACCCCAAATACGAAACTATCTACAGAAATCATGAAAGCAAGCAAAGTGAAGAAAATGCAAACTGTGAAAGGTTGTACGAAAAAAGAGAAGAAAATCGAAAAATCAAACCTCCTGGCCATTTTTCTAGGGTCTTTCTCCATTCTAGCTGAGGGATCATCCGTACAAACGCCGACTTCAACCCCAGACGCCGAGTAC